GGGAGAAGAAAAACGAAAAGCAGGAAGAGGATACCGCAGTGAGAGGCGGAGGAGGCTGGCCATACCGAGGAGGGCAGAGTGCGTTTAAGCGTCCGCTGGACGAGGAGGAAACGAACGTAGGATGATAAGAAAAAGAAAAGGTTCGGAGGTGAACAAAAGGAGGTAGTGGCCCGAGAGGTGAGCAAGTGCATCATATCCGGGAGAGAAGGAATAAATTCGGCAACGATGCTTGCTTATCGATGAAGAAAATTGGAGAATGGAGAGACAGAGTAAATCTAGATAATTTTTGCTTAGCAATATTCTTTTATTTTAAACAAATATTTAAATAAATTTGAAATAATAAAACAATCAAAGGAAAAAATATTGAGATTCATCAGAAGAAAAATTTTAACAATATAAATTGACGTGTTTTACAAATAATAAGAAGGAAATGCTTTATTAGAAGTTTAAATTAATTGAGTGAGTCAACGATAATACACATTGAACGTCACGATAACGCCACTTTGTCATACTGCTCGATTACTTTCATTTTTCAAATATTGCTTCATTCAAATTCAATCCAACCAAAAGTCACATATTTCCCTCACATGTTTCGACGATCTGATTTAATCCAATCGTGAATAGAATCGTGAATAATACAAGTACAAGATCGATCTGAAACAACTTCTTTACGAACCACGTGGAGAAAATCATACGCTTACCGACAGTAAGGCAGGAAGGAAGAAGAAGAAGAACGAGCGTTTAAACATACGCTAAGCGATCGGGTAAAATGAAATGCGGTAAGAAAGGTGGAGAAGAAGGCGCGAGGAAGTCGGTGGTTGGGCGCTAACGTAGTCGAACGAAGAAGATAAATAAGGAATGTATAAGGCGTGCAAGAAACGAGAAAATTGACATTCCAATCTCGCGGAAAATAGTATGCACGCGAAGAGTGGAAAGGAAGAAAAAAAAATGCGTGTGGAGCAGAGAGCGGATGGAGGAAGGAAGAGGGTCAAGGAGGCGGAGATGAGATGAGAAAAGAAGAAATGGAACGGCGAATCGTTCAGCGGACGAGGAAGAGAGGAGTCTGCCGGAGCAAAGGAAACGGGTATCGCGAAGTGGAGGAAGAAGAAGAAGAGGAAGAAGAAGAAGAAGAAGAAGAAGAAGAAGAAGAGGAAAGAAGGGAGCCAAGGTAAAAGGGAGAGGAGGCGAGGGGACGAGGTCTGGGTTGGGTAAGGTGAGGGCTCCTACGGGTGAGTACCACTCACTTCATTGACTCGTGCGTACGCCCGCACGTCTGTCAGTCCATCCTCACTCACTCGATCCTCGCTTGGTCTCGTAGCCATTCTAACGGAGGCCACAGTTCCCTGCTTCGAGTTCCACGTTTACCTCGTCCTCGTCCTCGACGTGGTAACGTACACGGCCACACAGGTGAAGTCGAGGCCGACGTCAATAACGTGCTTCCTCTTTTTTCTCGATCGACGACCGAGGGAATCGTGGTGTCGTGATCATTCAGAAAATCTATCTTCGCGGGTGGATGTCGGCCGGCAGCAAGAACAGGATGATTCTGGGCAGCCTGGGAGGAATCCTCGCTGTCCTCCTGCTCGTCGAGATCTCGTGGACCAGGGCCAAGCCTCAACAGATCAAACCTGGTGAGTGGTTTTCTTTCTTCTTCTTTTTTTCCCTCCCCAACAAATTTCCATTATCCGCCTCGCAACATACAATCGATCGATCTTCCAATCCAATGGAAACGTCAATTTCTTTAATAATTTCGAGTTTAAGAATTATATTCAAAAATTTTATCGCCAAACTTTAATCTATGATTTAATACTCCGATCAAAGTGAATTGCTCAATCGTCTCGAAAACATTTTTTCTCAACGTGCCAAGAGCATATATATACGTAACATATTTCATACTTGCGAATTCTTTATCGCGTTTCGAAGGATTAATTAAAACGCGGCGGATCTGTAACGAGGGAAGTAATACTTCCTCCTTCATTACGGTTTATCGTTGGCGATCAAGCCGCGATGAAAAAAAGAAAGAAAGGAAAAAAAGGAAATGAGAAACAAAGAGACGCGATGCCATTGTTCGCGGCGTTATATCGATCGATTCTTTCGAAGAAGAAAGTTCGATGATCGGTATCATCGACAGATGTCAGAAACGAAAGCACGCGTACACGCGCACACGTACACACGCGCGTCGTCGTCGTCGTGGGAGCATTCGAAACGCGGCATTGTTCGATCCGTGGATCGTCTATTGCGCAATTCCACCGGATCAGGGTTAACGTACCGGCACGATTACGTTAACCGTTCGCGGAACGATCGATCGATCATGCGTCGTGATCGATCGTGTTCGAATTCTTTTTTCTTTTCCTTTTTCGCATGGAAACGTGGCCCGTTTCGAGTGCCTACTACCTGACCGGCAGGGTGGTCCAAGCGTTGGATATCTAATCTGGCGAACGGAAGTCGCTTTGTGCGGCAGAGAAAGATACGCTTTTGAGCAGAGCAGTTTGTTCCTCGCCTACTTCGATAATGATGTTCGAGATTGTATCTCGAGATTCAAGCCTAATATTTTTTGTCCCACTTTCGACTCGAACGTGTTCCTTTTGAACGAGGAGGAGGAGGAAGTTTTTAACGCGCAGATAATTTGCTTCAAGTCCGTTGTTTTTCAAATTTTTTGAAGATAAGCAAAGGCAATATCAGGAAGTCTTTTTTCTTTTTTTATTTAATGTATCTCTCATTTAATGATATCTATATTAATCGAATTAAGAAGATACTTACTTCTAATTCAATTAATTCAACCGATTATCTACAAAGAATTTCATTTCTATATTTTTTCATTCACGTATAAATTATTTAACATCCGTAAAGTTTTCAACATTATCAATAATTCGCATCTCGACACGATATAATACGTTTAACTTTCTGCAACATTCGAGCGCAATAAAATTTCAATGTTATCAATAATTATATATCCATAAGTAAAATTTAATCCATTTTCCCTGTTCCAACAACCAATCGATTATTATTAATTAATGGAAATTTATTCAAATCGTCCAATAACAGATGCGAATCGACGCATCTTTCTTTCTCCTCGTGTGTACACACTACCTCCTCGAACTTTCGCCTCCAATAACGATCGAACAGAGGACACCGCGTGCAGTTAAGCATCGCGAACGACCAAGAAGTAGTTTGCACTGGGTCCAGCCGAAAGGAGTTTACGTTACCTTACGAGCAGACCGCACGCTTTCGGCGTTATACGGCCGCCTTATACGTGAATGCCCTAAGAACTTTAGCTGTATCTCGCCCTGCACGTTTGTCCCCCTTCCGGAATTATTGTCTCGGGACCGAGTCTAACTCGCGGCCTCGCTCGTTTCAAACTTCTTCGCGGCGAGAAATAATATTTCAAGGCAGGCTCGAGGGGCGGGCTCGTGTAAATGGAGGAATATATATGTATAAAACGGAGGAACAATGAATGGAATTTTGTAAATTATCGTCAGGTCAAGTTATGGGTTGTTGGAAATCGATTGATTGTTTGACTTTCGACTTTTCGTGTTGGATTGTCTCGAGGAATGCGTTATGTTCTCGGGGAAACTTTTCGATTTTAATCGAAAGATAAGGGATTGTTGTTTGAATGTTTTGTTCGATGTTTAATAATCAATTGAAAATCGATCGATGGATCATTGTTAATCGAGCAACTCGAGAAGCTTCAACGATGAGTTTTTAATATACATTGTTGGATCGTTGGAAGAGATTTTTCAAGATCAAGGAATCGATTTTTTGGCATTCCTTCATTCTTTCGAGGAAGGTGGACAATAGAGAGAAAAATATATACGACGATATAGAAGAAGATCACACGTTTTCATATCGGTTCGACATCTCGATCTCTTCCGTTCCATTGTCCTCTCGATCTATGTGTGCCATCGCGAGTATAGCAATCTGCAAGAAACATCCGGAATTAATTTTCACCAGAATCACAACCGTTGTACATCCATCGAAATTTAAAAAAACCAACTTTTCTTCGAGGAAGGAAAAAAATTGAGAATACGATCAATCACCACCGATTAATTGATTCAAAGAGAAATCCTCCTCTTTTCAAACGAGAATCAAAGAAGTCCTCCATCAGAATCGTAGATATTTTTTTTTTCCTTTCTTTTTTAAACATCACCCGAATGTCATGCACCGAAATCCATCAGGCTCCACTCGATCTTTCGCGAGATTCCACGCCACGTTTTTCCGTCCAATTATCTCTCTCTCTCTTTCCTTCTCTCTTTTTCTCCCTCGACTATTCGATCGAATTCGATGGCGAATGAATC